CACGTGAAATTCAAATGAAGGTCTAACTCAAGAAAACAAACCATCCCTAAGCATGCCACACTACAAATCCGCTGTCAACTGGAAGTCTGAAAAAGTTCTCACCTACACTTTGACAGCGCTCACGCTTCGCGATGACTTGCGTAGAGGCGCTACAATTGCAACAGCACTCGATGCTACAGACGCGAACGTATCCGCAGACGGAAATCGTTGGCGCCGGTGTTTTGAGATAACAGGATAACAGGAGGGTAGGTACTGCTTTCACATAATCTGGTGTTCTCCCATTCTCCAATACTTTCCCGAAGCTCTAACAATCAGTGCCGATCGATACCAGCCTAACTAGGCAACGCGTACCCTCCTGTTTCCCCATACTCTCTCAATACACAAACAGCCACTGCCGATCGATTCCCGTCTGCTGCTGCGTTCGCGTTTATAGCACTGGAGCGTTGAAGCAAATGTAGTGCGTCGACGCACGCCATCGCGAAGGCTGAACGCTGCGTTAGACCATCAGTGGACAGAACTAACCTCTTCTGGGGCTCTCGTGATTGAAAAGGATACCATTACAAGCGAACATGTTGTAAGCTTCTCGGTAGTTGATAACGATCCAATAAGCATACATCTTAGCGACCGCTCAAAAAGTAACCGTTTACCTATGATTGCGATATTAACGGAGACAATAATGGGAGCAGTTCGGCTCGAGGAGGGTAGTTGGGGTGCATGTTGCACATTCACTGCTTCCCATTGTCGTGTCGAGCCATCAAAGACATTTATGAAATCTTCTGAAGTCATGAAGAGAAACTAGTCAAGGTATGTGGAAACTACTTGTCAACTCTTGTAAAGAGCATCTGGTAACTCTTGTAAAGCAATGAACACGACGATATATGGAAAGACGCAGAAATGCAAAAGTGCGCCCCGATGCAGCGCCCCCGGCGCGCACCCCGCCCCTCCAAGCGACTGCGCCAATAACGCTATACCATAAGGGTGAACGAGGGTAGAACGGCGTTGACTCTTTCTGAGGAATTTCTTGAACTTTCCCGTACAACTCGGAAGTTGATGCTTGGTAGAAGCGAACCTGAAGTTGTTTTTACGACATCATGAAAGGGCAAGTCACAATTCACAAAACACAAAGGTGAATGCATGGACAATTAGAAAGGGGGAAGGAAGGAGAAAGCCGCCAATGCGGGTGGGTGTCGGCCGGTTTCCACCACGCAAGATGTCAAACGGCGTCTCTCGGAGGCAACAGCGTCTGAGATACGACGTGGGAGAGGGAGGGGGAGAGAGGGGAGGTTAAATGAACATAGAGTTGCACCTGCTACCAAAAAGACTTCGAGGTCAAAAAAATTTAGAACAACTCATGGTCAGGGAAATAGTTAGTCAACAGTATTTCAGGATTATGAGGATTAGAGCGGAAGGGGTGCAGAGTCAGCGCCTACCATACAGCTGTCCGGAGATCGAAGTTCGAATGACTCCTATCCAACTTCTCCACCGCTCCTAGATCGGTTATCAGACATCAGGCTTGCATGCGAGGACAAAATATCTATTTGTTCACCAGCTTGTACTGCTAGGTACCAATCCGGCGATTGGGGAGAATCTGTGATAGGGCGTTTCGGGCGACTGCGCTAAAGGAGTAGATGGGTATTGATCGGCGCCGGTCGCTAGCGATTATGGAGATTCAGCGTTTCGGCGTTTTGAATCGGCGATTTGGCGTTTTGTGAGTCTGCGCTTCAGGAGGGAGTAGATGGATATCGATTGGCGCCGGTAGCCAGCGATTATGGAGACTCGGCGATCCGGCGTTGTGAAAGATTGAGCGGTAATCGACGTTCTGACAGAAGCGATGAGCCGGCGTCTTGGGGAATGAGCGATTCGGCTATTTGAGAGACTCGACGTTTTCAGGAGGAATGAGACGAGTATCGATCGGCGCCGGTTGCTAGCGATCCGGCGAGCCAGCGCCAGATCGACATCCATCCAGTGCTCTGGCGCTCACACGCTCGAAACGCCGAGTCGCCCGAGATGCCGGATCGCCCATTCTCCCCAGTCGCCAGATCGATACATATTTCTTCAGCGTTTCGCAACCTCTCGTACCGCCGAGTCTCCCAAATCGCGGAATCTCCTGAGTAGCAAAGTATAAACGCGGTCCAACGAACTCAAAGATGTTCCGGACAAGAGCATTTCTACGAAACATGAAAAAGAAACGTGCACTCTCCATACCTTTTCAGTCAAACCACAGGCATGGATGGCATCAAGTAATCTCAATGTGCCAACTGCGTCCACTTCAGCGGTATATTCTGGCAGATCAAACGATACCTATATGTCGAAATATGATGAGCGGAAATCTTAACCTGGAAAACCACTTAGTAATTACCTTTACGTGAGATTGTGCAGCAAGATGATACACTTCTGTTGGCTGAATCTTTGTGATGAGTTTAATTAGACAAGATGAGTCGGTCATATCACCGTAATGTAAAGCGAATGACGAGTCACCTAAACGGAAAAAAATGGACGACAACTCGACAAACCAATGAAACAAAATATCACTCAGTTTTTTGTTTCCCAGCAGCAGCCGCGGCCTTCTTTCCCACCTACTCACCGGACTAATCACTCGCTCTGGAGCGCCAGCCGATAGTGGGTTGAATAGTACAGAAGATTAGGAGGGTAGGAGGAGGTTCCATGCTCTCTCAAAACACTGGCGGCCGGCGTGGAAGCACGTTCCCGTCCATACCATTTGATCGCCATTGCAATGGCAGCGCAGAGGCGCGTTGCCGCGAAGTTGATGAACGCGATTAAACTTTATAGTCCTTTTCTAGTGCATTAGCCTCTCTACCCCGACTCCTCGAGAGAGTAACTGGCGATCCCGCACATATCATCGTCCTGTTCCCGGAGTCAAATCTAGGACTGGACTAGTTCCAGCTGTCAATTAGGTCTTCAGCCCTTTCGAGATCGACGTCTTGAAAGCAGACTTATGCAGGGACACAATTATATATTATTGGAAAGTGGAGAAAACAATTCAGAATGGAGGTTGATCGCATAGCTAATCCCGAGAGGGGACCGGTCAGTTGCAAAAACTCCCACTTTTTAGCGCTAACTGTTCATATATCTCTAATACATTCTTGGCCATCACCTTCCTCCAAATTCCGCGTCACTACTAAGCCAGACATCAACCTGGTCTTCGAATTTTCGTAATTATTGCCGAAATTTCATACTTAAATTTTATATTTTCCAACTCTCTGCGACCTACCAGGTGCTTTCTTACAAGAATCATTTAAAGCAAACGTAAGCTGAACCAGTTTTTTAATACGTGCTCTGATAACAGAGCATACCTAATATGCCTGTGAAGGGGGGGGGGGGGTGGTGTCATATCATGTCGTTTGCCATTTTGGGAAAGGTCATAATGGGCCCCTCCCATCTCCCGCTCGCCCCCCCCCCCCTCCCCTATTAGCTCCTCCCCCAGCAGTCAAAGCCTGCTTCATACATTGCCGGCAATTGGACGAGAAAGGCAGGGGAACAAGGGGAATGCATGCCAAACGGAAGTAAGCAGTATGCTTCTTAGGCCTGCGTTTATACTTCGCGCAGCGCTAGCGGTAGCGCTCCAAGCCGTACGCCGCTATTGGCAATAGTCGGGGAAAGGATAGATATCGATCTAGCGTTCCCAGCGTCACCAGCGTACGCTAGCGTGCCGCTAGCGCACGCCAGCGGCACGCTAGCGCACGCTGGCGTAGCGAGGGCACGGGAAGCATAGCTATCGATCTAGCTTCACCAGCGTTTCTCCAGCGTTTTCCCAGCGCTTGCCAGGCGACGGGCTAAGAGAGCGAGGCTAGAGAGTAAAACTGAATGGTGGGAGAGTAGGACAAAATACTCTCCCACCTTCAATAGCTCTCTTAGCCATCGCTGCAAGCGCTGGGAAAACGCTGGAGAAACGCTGGTGAAGCTAGATCGATAGCTATGCTTCCCGTGCCCTCACTACGCCAGCGTGCGCTGGCGTGCGCTAAGCGGCACGTCTAAGCGGACGCTGGTGACCTAGAACGCTAGATCGCCTGATCTAAATCCTTTCCCGACACTTGCCGCTGACGTACGCTGGAAGCGCTACGCTACGCTGCCCAAGCAAAGTATAAACGCATGCCTTTACATTTTGGGGGTATATGAGAAGGGACCCCAAGGGAAAGTGCAGTTATCGATCTGGTAAAGCGGGAGAATAGGAGCACTGGAGTAAGCGCAAACGGTAATATGCTTGCCAAGGGAGCAGATGACGGATAATAGGAATCGATCGATTCCCACGAACTCCTCTAGCACGCATTCCTCGATTCACGCCTCCCCCAATTCGCAAGATCGATACTTACACTTTGCATTGTCGTGCATTCCCCTATTCTCCGACTTCCCACTGTCGCAAAGTATTAACAAGGTCTCGCTAAGTATGCCATAGCCTGAAGTCCTCATAACTCCTATTCTGCACCAATTAAAGTCATACCAAGTACTTTGCAAGAAACTCTCGATGTTCAAGTTGCCTAATTTTCAACCCCTTGAGAAGACGGACAGGACAATCGTAAGTGGTCGCGTCGTCGCGCGCGGCGTATCGTGTTTTAACAGGCAACTTCAAAGGGAATATCAGAACAACTCTTCTGTCGGGCGCGGGGTCGCTCACCACGCCCATCGCGGCATATTGCGATTGTTTTGTCACATACCTCTATTTGGATTTTTTCCCCACTGTAACTGAATAACTGCTGAAAAACTTACCCCTATGAGTTATCGGGTTACTGTAAAGATGTTCGATACGAGCTGTGTTGAACGACGACGATCTCCGAATGACGCCGTGCACTGCATAGCCTTTGGCAAGCAATAACTCGGCTAGATAAGACCCATCCTGAAAACCAAAAGTTCTTTTTATTCATATATTTTCGATTGGATGACCGTATTCACCTGTCCAGAAATACCCGTAATTAGTGCTACTTTTCTAGCTCGGAAAGCTGCTAATTCGGCATCAGATACCACATCAGCACGAGCTCCGTCGCCACCCATGCAGGCCTCAAGTCTCTGAAAAAATTGGCTATCGTTTCCTGTATACTAGTAACCATTACTAATAGGGACGGAAAAAGTGTTTTTATAAAGGAACTGGTTTTCCTTTTTTCTCTCGATGAATTGAGGGCAGATAAGTGCAGTGTAATGTGAAGATAGAAACGTAATATCTGAACAACGATCTTTAGGAAACGAATAGTTTTCAAAGTCGTAGATCACCGAGATTGACGAAGGAAAAGGTTAATGGTTGAATAGATCCTCCACTCACTGAGCCCAATTTCTTCCAAATTTCGTTTAATTCTTCAAAAGTATTCGAGAAAACTAGTTCCCTCCTCATGCGAAACCAATTAATGACCTTTTTTTGGCCCCAGTTACGGAATTTATAAAGTAAATAACGATGTTTCTATGGAAACAATGAGACCCAGGGATGGCATTGGCGCGTGGCATTATTCAGCAGAAATCGATCGGAGCGCTGTTGCAGCTGGTCGACTGCCACTGTTCAAACCCCTCGCCTATCAATACAACCCAACGCGGGTTTCATGCGGTGGTCCTGACTGGATGGCATTTAGCGGGTCCTTTCTCAAGAAAAACTTTCATTCAAGTTTCAGAGAGCCTTCGTGGAAACACCATTCTAACAAACCATCTCCAGCTCAAATAATATTTTTTCATGTTTATCGTGAGGACATCTGCTCACGACATCGTGCGCAAACTAGATGAGCATTTCCTGACTAATTGACTTGACACACTGCTGCACTGCCATGCTGGTTGGCTGGGTCCCGACGCGAAGGGCTAATTTGGTCCCGGTGGGAAAAAGCACAAATTTGGACTCCTCTTTCGCCGCCGTAGCCGCGCCTTCGATGGGCTGAACTCAAGGCACGGATACATCGGGAGACGGGCAAGAGAATCGACATGATAGACACTTTATGTCTATTTTGTCATACAATTGTCCACTTCGCAGACCGAAATCTAACCAAACATTCGTCGTCATTTATAGGAACGCGCGTGTCGCCCCGTACCTCACTGGAGGCGAATTACGAAGCCATCTTTGGATGCGGCGAATGACGATTCTTTTGCCAACACCCCGGATACACTACCGACCACAGCTGCCACCATCGCATGCCGCGTAGACGGTCTTTAAGAAGCGCACGCGACGTCCCCGCGTGCTACGAAAAGTCTCCCAACACCGCGGACCATGCTGTGGAGCGGCACGCGCTGATCTCAGTGCGTAACTGGATTGACTATATTCCTCAGTTTCCAGCCACGATCTTCATTTCACATGCTCTTAGAGATTTGGATTGTCCGTAACTTAGTTTTATTCACATAACTAGATGATTACATAGCAATTATGGTACAGAGAAGCCTGCGTAGATTCTTCAGGCGCTTAATTTAGCTTGTCTGCTGATCCCAAATCATTTGGTTGTCACAATACTTTCTGGACAGCGTACTCTCTCAGAGATGGTACGTTTTGTTATAATGTTGAGATGACGGACTGTCCTTCTGAAAGATTGTACCGAAATGCCAATGTCGCGATAATAGAACCATCGCGAGCGCGCGCTATAGTAAGGCATCGTTCACAGTCTGCGAACCTGCGTTTCTCTCAAAAGAAACGCTTCGGCGAAAAAGCTTTCGATACGTATCGACTGGCGTTTGGGCGAAGAGTCCAGCGGTTGGGCGAAAGGGTTTTGATACAAATCGACGGGCGTTTCGCAGAAACGCGGCGTTTTTCGCCTTCGCGGGACGCTAGCTCGAACGCCCTGGCGTTTTTCGCCAGCGAAATCGATTACGCATATACAGGGGGGGCAAAAAAAGTCATTTCGGCCGAGCCACATATCAACGAAGTTTTCGCAGCCCAGACAGGGGAAGTGGATATGAGTACCAGGGTGGAAGATACCCAAGATCTTCCTCTATAAGCAGGAGCAGGCTGCCGCCAATCACCTTCATGTACACCAAAATATGAAGTCATCTCCAGTCGCGGCCTGAGTGGAGAACGCCTTTGGAATTCACGTCGCCTCCAAACAGCTGCGAAACTTCTTGAATGAAGTCATCCACAGATAGCTACCTGGAGGTCAGTACTCTTGATCTGCAAGACCTCCCACATCGAGCAGCTTCGTCAACTTCGCTACGGTCTAGGACATCATCTTCACCGTATTCGCCGAGGCGCGAGTTGATGGTATGGACCGGGGTACCTGGAAAGGGGAAGACCGATATTTTCTTTGTAGACCCCGACTGAAGGTGAGCGCTGGCGGTTACATCAAGTAACTCGTGGTCGCCCGTACCTTCTTGGAGACCTTGTGCTGCTACAGGTTTGGGTGCCACCACATGGAATCAAAGGGTTTTGGAAAAACTCCCGCCTACTTCGAATGGAAGGGCGTTTCGTACCTGAAGAAGATGTAATATTGAAGTATGTCCCCTGACCTGAACCCACTCAATTACCTAGGGCGGACTTCAAGAGGGTGGTCTACGGTGGCGGAGAAATCGACTACCCCGCTGATCTCAGGTACCACATCGCGGTCGCGTGCCAGAATCTCTCGATGGCGTTCGTCCAGA